TGGGACAATTACAAAATGTAACATACACATACTGGAACTACCAGAAGGAGAAGGGAAGACAGAAGAGGAGAATGTTTGAAGTAATGACTGAAAGTTTCCTCAAATTAAGGTTAGGCACGAAATCACAGATCCAGGAAGCTCAGAACATCAGACAGGATCAATGTAAAATAAACTCCACCTAGACATATGACATGCGAACTGCAGAAAATCAAAGAGATATTATCTTGAAAAAAGCCAAAAGTGGGAGGGAACACCTCACCTGCAGAGGTACAAAGATAAGAACTTTATCAAACTTCTTCTTGAAACCATGCAAGCAAGAACAGGGTGAAGTACTTAAAAGTTTTAAGAGAAAAAACCCACCAACCTAGAATTCTCCACTCTTGAAAATTATCATCCAAAAGTGGAGTAATACAAGAATGTCAAACATCAAAAGATTTTGTTGCTAGTATACCCGCCTTCCAACAATGTTAAAAGAAGTTCTTCAGAGAAGGAAAATGATGAGTCAGAAACTTGGATCTACATAAAGAAAGCAAGAACACTGTAGAAGGAATAAGTGAAGGTGAAAGAAAAAGCTTTATTTTTCTTCCTCTTAATTGATCTAACAGATACCAGCTTGTTCAAAATAATAAAATCAACAGTGTAATTAATGTATGTGTGTATATATGTGTATGTCATAAGTGAAATGAATAACAGCAATGATACAGAGGAGGGAAGGGAGGAATTGGGGCTATTTTGTTACTATAAGGTACTTGTACTACCTGTGAAGTAGTGAAGTGTTATTTGAAAATAAATGTGGGTAAGTGGTAAATGTATATTGCAAGTTCTAGGACACCCCATAAAAGAAACAAAAAAAAAAACAACCATAACTGAATTACTAAGAAATGAGAAAAAAAGAAATCATACAAAATTCTAAATTAAAACCAAAAAGAGCAGAAAAAGAACAAAGAAAGAACAAGGGTAACGAATAGAAAACAGTAACAAATGTGGCAGATACTAATCCAACTGTATTAATGATTTTTAATGTCAGTAATCGAAATGCCAGCTTAAAGGCAGAGATTGCGGAATGCGTCAAAAAACAAGACCCAACTATATGTTATCTACAAGAAATCGACTTTAAATAGACATGGATTAAAAGTAAAGAGGTTGGGAAAAAAGATAAAAAGTAAATTGGTGGGAGAGTATTACTCCATTATATATATACCATACCTTTATCAATTTGTTAGTGGACACTAATGTTCCTTCCGTATCTTTGTGGTTATAAATAATACTGCAGTGAACATTGGGATACATGTATCTTTGAATTAGTGTTTTTGTTTTTTTTGGGTATATACCTAGGAGTGAAATTGCTGGATCATATGTAATTCTATTTTTAGTTTTTTGAGGATCCCCTATACTGTTTTCCACAGTGACTGCACCAATTTATTTAACTTTCATCTTGGGGGCACAAATGTGAATGGTGTGCTTTTAATTTCAAATTCCACCTGTTCATTGCTGGTATATAGGAAAGCAAAGGACAGTTGCATTTGAAGAATTTCAATATGGTGTTGAAAAGGAATGGCTAATTAGAGGGGATGTCCTTGCCGTATTCCTGATCTTCGTGGGAAAGCTTTCAGTTTTTCATCATTATAGTAGTATCTGTAGGATTTTTGTAAATAATCTTCATCAAATTTAGGAAGTTTCTCTCTGCTCCTCATTTGCTGAGACTTTTTACCATGAATGGCTGTTGGATTTCAAACATTTTTTCTGCATCTATTGTAATACTCATTTTTCTTCTTCAGTCTGTTGATGTGATATACTCTAATATTTTATAAAGTTGGACTACTCTTGAATACCTGGGATAAATCCCACTTGGTTGTAGTCTTTAATTGTTTACAAATACTGTTGGAGTCTATTTGCTAACATTTTGAGGATTTTTACATTTATGTTCATGAAATACTGGTATGTAGTTTTCTTTCCTTGTAATGTCTTTGTATGGTTTTGGTATTAGGCTGGTATCAGAATGAGTTTGGAAATCCTCCCTTTGCTTCTAACTTCAGGAAAAAATTATACAGAACTAGCATCATTTCTTCCTTAAATGTTTTAGAACTCACAAGGGACTGCATATGGGCTTGGCAATACTTTACAAAGTTATCAATCATTGATTCAATGTCTTTAATAGATGCTGACCTATTCTGATTGTCTATTCTTAGTTTTTGCAGACTGTGTCTTTCAAGGAGTTGGTTTATTGCATCTTGGGTATCAAATTTGAGGGTATAGAATGTGTCATAATGTACCTTTGTTATCCTTTTAGTGTCCATTGGTTGTGTAAAGATGTACCTCCTACTTCATTTCTGGTACTAGTAATTAGTGTCTTTTTTCTTCATAGTGTGGTCTACTGATTTTATTAATATTTTCAAAGAATCAGCTTTTAGTTTCATTGATTTTTTTTCTGATTTTCTGTTTTCCATTTCACTGCTGCTTTAATTTTTATTATTTTTCTCCTGCTTATTTTAGAATTTGCTTTTTTCTAATGTCCTAATGAATGTTAGATTATTAATTAGATATTTCTTCTTTCCTAATATATACGCTTAATGCTATCACTATGACCACCCCCCCCATGCTGGATAATGTTGACATTTTATGCAATTATACATTAATTAACTTACTTGATTAAAATCTGCTATGATGCTGGTTGTTTTTTTTGTTTGTTTGTTTCCTTTCTCTTTTTCTGCCTGATTTTGTGTTAATTTATTTTATGATTCTGTCTTGTCACTATTGACTTCTTACTTTTACCTTAAAAAGTACTTGTTTAGTGATTACTTTGGGTTTAGAATACACATTGAATCACAGTCACCTTAATATAATATTACACCACTTGATGAGCATCCAGTAGCAGGTTCCTAAAGAGGAGCATGCCGGTGGGGATAGAATCCTGTTACGGCTCTGGTTCCCAGAGGTTCTGTATTCTCCTAGTCACCTCCACTCAGTACTGAACAGTTGGTTGAAGTATTTAGCTGGTTTCTTCTTATTTGTCTGTATGGTATCCAGCACCTCTTCCTTTTGTGTTCTGTCATAGGTGAGTCAAAGATGGCATTCTCTCCCTCCTTGGGGGAAGCATGACTTTCTTAGATTTAAGGCAATTTTGTCATCCTATGACCTCAGCTCTGATGGGTTCAAGAAGAAATTCTGCTTTTGTAGTATATCTGCTTTTTCTTCTGTTCAGAAATGAGCATCACTTTCTCCAGCTTTCCAAACCCTAGGCAGTAGAAGTCATCATGTTCTTGATAAACTGATTCAGAATTTACCTTGTCATTAAGCATGCGTTTTGTGAACCAACTGTGAAAACAAGGTTTAATGCAAAAAAAAAAATTACCAAAAACCCCATACTTAGTTGTGATAGTAGTCTATACAGTGAATGACAGGTTCGGACCACTGGTTCTACCAAGATTGCTCAGCCTCTGTTTCTGGTATGTATTTCATATATACCTGATGCATCATTTTCCTTGTTTCCCGCTGACCCTGTTGACTGGAATCCTAAAGATTTCATGCAGTTGTAAGCTGTTGCAATCTTGGCTGGTACATCACATCACTGGCAGGAGTACTGCATCAAGTAATTCTCATCCCACCACCTGAGATGGGAAGGAAGTAGCTGTTCCTATGGGTTCCTCTCAGTATGCACTTGGTGAGCACTTTTAAGGCGGTCCACAGATGTGATCAGTATCATCTTGGGATTTAACCATGTGTTAAAGAGAAAACTCGGTTTACTGCATGTATGTCTCACTCACATACTACTAGTTGAGACTGAAGATGTTGGAAGTAGAATGCAGAGGTTTACCAAAACTTAATTTATTTGAATTGTAGCTACTGCTGATAATACTAAAGATAAAATGTTTAAGAACTATGTCATGTAATGTATCAGAATGGAAGATTTAAACTAAGACTATTCTGATTAATTTGGGACTCTAGGTATAGTTGATGTTTTTTTTTTTCTTGTTCATTATCTTCAGAAATCATTAGAATTCAGGGTTTTGTAATCTCGGTGTAGTAGATTGGCAAAGGGTGCTAAATATCATACTCCTATTGGTTGCCTTCCTTCAGTCTGTCTTGCATGGATATGTTCTTTATAAAATACAAATCCAGCAGATGTCTGCAACCTCTGCCTCTCTGGCGCTTTTTGCCTGAAAAATATCCCTATCCTTGAGTTTTATTCAGTCTTTGGAATGAGATCATAGACCATTTCCTCTGACAGGCCTTCCCTACTCCTACAGAATTAAGTATTTTATCTCTTGGTCTATCTCTGCATCTATCACATTTTTTTTAATTGAAATATAGTTGACTTACAATGTTGTGTTAGTTTCTGGTGTACAGCAGAGTGATAATCATATTCTGGTACAAAATGTTTGTTAGAGATCAGCCTCCCCTTCTAGATTTGGGTTCCTTGAGGGCAAAAAACATGTCTTATTTATCTTCTTTTGAAATATACATTTTGATTGAAGTGTAGTCAGTTTACAATGTGTCAATTTCTGGTGTACAGCATAATGCTTCATTCATACATGAACATACCTATATTGGTTTTCATATTCTTTTTTACCATGAGTTACTGCAAGATATTGAATATAGTTCCCTGTGCTATACAGTATGAATGTATTTATCTGTTTTATATATATTAGTTTATACTGGTACATAATACAAACCTTGAACATGATAGGCCCTTAGACCTCCAGGCATTTTAGAACATGTTCGAAAAGATAGGTTTTGAGTGAAAGAATAAAGTATTCTGTTTATAGGACACCTGAAACGATCGAGGAAGTTAAAAACCCTTACAGTTGCAACATTCCTGTTTTCTACTTATTTTGTTTGGCTTTGGGGGCACGGAGAAAATTAATCTAACTCGATTAATCAGTAACTAAAGAGTTTTTGAGTTCCCTAGGACCTTTTTAATATGGAATTGATTATGAAGTTTAAAAAATTAGTTTTATCTAAAATTACCTTTTAACTTGATTCTTTATTTTCCTACCCAGTGTAGTGACTATGACTTGGAATTTGGAACTGAGTGTTTGCAGTTGGCTCTGAAATACAGTCATGTCAAAGCCAAACTTGTGGAAGGATCACCTGACCTCTGGAAGGTAAGGAAGTTAGTACTTTGCTCTGTGTTTCTGTGTCATTCCTAAAGACACACTGTGCAAGTACAGACACTTTCCAGGTGTTTTAGAAAATGGAGAAGTAGTATAAAAATACCTGGTTTCATACTGAAACAATATTTTCAGCAAAAAGGTGTGTGTATGTACACATTAAAAAGGTTGAGTTTCACTCAGTTTCTGAGCCATCAAAGTATGGTATCATTTCTATCAGCTGGTTCCAAGAAAATTCACTTTGGGATTATTTATGGGAACAAATTCCATTTTAGCCAATAAGATGGCTTTTTTCACAATTTTTTGTGTGTGTTCTTTGTATATATTCTTTTACTGTGTTGCCTTACTCTTACCTGGTTTGAGGGTGCAACTCAATGCTTCCCAGAATAGCAACATTTCCTCCCAGACCCTGGGATGGTAATTCTAACTTAACTGGGTTGAAACACATACCTGTCACAGTTCTGACTCAGTGAGGTTGGTTGCTAGACCCACTCACCGCCCCAAAGAGGAGTTGTACTTTTACCTGTGGAAAGATTTGACTCTTCTAATGGCAGACTTTCTTTTGGAGGAATGAATGAAGTGGTTGTAGCACTATCATACACCAGGTTCCTGCTGGCACAGGGGTGTTTTACAGCATGACTCTCTTGTGTTTCATGAGGTAGAAAGGTGTTGAATTGAACAGTATATTCTGAAATAGAATTGTGGAGTCATATGATAATTTTGAGTAAGAATTGCTGCTTTTGAAGTTTGGATGAAATCTTTATAAAGAAGCCATCTAAATCTGATTAGTAAAGATTCATCCTAAATTCTGAGATTATATGAATCCAAAAGCATATTTCTTCATTGATGTAAGAACAAAACAAAACACCCAGCCTGTGGATGAAAGATCGTCTCATATCATATATATCTTAAATTGTTACAAGATTACAAAATATTGATATGCCTGGATTATTGCCTGATGAAGAAAATTCATGCAGTATTATTGCTCCTTTAAGAATATCCAAATGTCATCAACCCAGTAGGCAAGTATTTTATTCACTTTGTTTATTCTTTTCTGTATATGGCTCAGATGGTGATAATACATAGTGAGAGAATTTTGGTAACGACCAGCTAGGGGTTTTGTTAAAGATCTGACCCACATCTCTACAGAACCCAGCTATCCTTAATTTGCGGGCTATGTAGGAAAAAAAAGTAAAAACTCCAGACATTTTATGGCTACTAACATGTCAACACTCTGGCCTTACTGCTAATATTTTAGACTGTGTGATTATCTACTTCTTGTGGGTATTCTGAGCCTTCTTCACACTTGTAACGCACCCTGAGGTCTGCAGATAAAAGGAGAGAAGCACTCTGCTCTTTGAATTTCCACTCCACCTTCACAAATGTATTTCAGTATTTTGGTAATGAAACATCCTATTTCCCTGCTTCCTCCAGCAACATGGTCTCACAGCTTTAGTCGTCACATCTCGGTGCTCTGCTTCTCTTTCATGTGCAGCAAGTGTCAGTGCACTGAGCAGTAGTTGGCCCTTCCAAGCGCTGCTCTTCATTCTCATGCTGAGTCTTGTAATGTGTGCTCTTGTGGGTTGGGTTGTGGCCACAAAGGTATGTTGAAGTCCTAGCCCCTGACACTCGTGAATGTGACTTTATTTGAAAAGAAAGTCTTTGCAAATCTAATCAAGTTAAGGTGAGTTCCTACTGGTATGGGGAAGGCCCTCAATCCAACATATGAGAACAGGAGAAGAGATTTAGGCACGGATGGAGAGTGCCAGTGGCAATGGATACAGAGAGGGATCTGATGCATCTACAAGGAAGGGAAAGTGAAGGATGGCCAGCAACCCCAGGAAACGAGGAAGAGGCGGGGAAGGAGTCTTCTGTAAAGCCCTCAGAGGGGGAATGGCCCTGCTGACATGTGGATTTCACATACCTAGCTTCCAGTGCTCCGAGAGGATGCTTTTCTATTTTAAGCCATCCAGGTTGTGGTACTTTGTGACAGCAGCTCCAGGAAACCAGTACACATGCCAAGGGGTGATACCCTGTTAGGCCCAGAGGGCTCCTCTTCATAGTATCACCTTCCAAACTGGGCAGGAGTGGGGAAGCCTTACTGTAAGGATGTTTGAATAATGATGCATCTTAGCAGGATCTTGGGTTCTAACCGGACATGTAATGTGATGGATTGGGCAAAAAGTCTTTCAATTGGCAGTCACGAAGTCTTTTTACACTATCACATTTCTTCTGTAACACAGGAGAAGTTATTTTGAGTGCAAATATTGCAGTTCTTTCAGGTTCTTTATTTCCTTCTTCTGCCTTCTGTCTCATGATCTTCTACCTTTTAAAAAATCTTTTTGATTTTTCCTGGCTGTTTATTTAGCCTTAGTTATCCTCTTTTGATATAGTATGAGTTGTCTTTAGTATAAGTTTCTAACTTAATTTTGTGGTCTTACTTTGTATGGATAGAGAATATTACAATTGCTGTTTAAACCAAAGCAATGGAATCTACATGTTGAAATAAGTGTTCTAATTCAATATTAATTCCAGTGATGCCTTTTACAAGTCAGATTTGAAAGATTAAGTACAATTTTGCTAAAACTGGTATTGGACTTCAGTGGACTCCACATGATTCAGAAATCTGACACAGTGAAAAGCAGGTCTCAAGAGGCTTTTCATGACCATAAACAGTAAGGCAGAGGAGGATTCCGAAACATGAAGCCAGGATGCTTTTGCCTACCCCTTGGAATGTCAGGGAATTGGACTGCCACAGTGATGTGAAGAATGACTAGAAATTTCTCATGACCATGTGTAGCACTATTACTTTACCTGACACCAGAAATCTCAGGAGGACTATTATTTTGTATTTTACATAGTTTTTGTGTTTTTTTTAATGGAAGGAAATGTAGACAGTAAGTGCTCAGAGTTGATGGCATCTTTCCTGCAGTAGCTCCTCTGGGTTTGGAAGAAACATCATATTTTTTAAAAGATCACCATGAAGGGGTAGAGGATATCCTTGTGCGTGACCCCTCCTCCCCGCCACACCCTCTACCCCTGCCTTTTACTCTGAAAACTGTAAGACACTGATGAAATCGAAGATGACAGACAGATGGAAAGATATACCATGTTCTTGGATTGAAAGAATCAATATTATTAAAATGACCATTCTACCCAAGACAATCTACAGATTCAGTGCAATCTCTATCAAGTTACCAATGGCATTTTTCACAGAACTGGAAATAAAAATGTTAAAATTTGTGTGGAAACACAAAAGACCCTGAATAGCCAAAACAATCTTGAGAAAGAAGAATAGAGCTGGACGAATCATGCTCTCTGGCTTCAGACTACACTTCAAAGCTACAGTAATCAAAATAGTACAGTATTGGCACAAAACACACACATAGATAATTGGAACAGAATAGAAAGTCCAGAAATAAACCCGTGCACTTACAGTCAATTAATTTAAGACAAAGGAGGCAAGAATATACAATGGAGAAAAGACAGTCTCTTTAATAAGTGGTGCTGGGAAGGCTGGACAGCTACATGTAAAAGAATGAAATTAGAACATTCTCTAACACCACATACAAAAATAAACTCAAAAAGGATTAAAAACCTAATCTTAAGACTGGATACTCTGAAACTCCTAGAGGAAAAACACAGGCAGATTACTCTTTGGAATAAATTGCAGCAATATTTTTTCAAACCAGCTTCTAGAGTAATGGAAATAGCAGCAATAATAAACAAAGGGAACCTTTTACGTTTACTTAAAAGCTTTTGCACAGCAAAGGAAACCATCAACAAAATGAAAAGACAACCCACAGAATGGGAGAAAATATTTGCAAATGACAAGACTGACAAGTGACTAATTTCCAAAATATACAAACAGCTCATACAGCTTAATACAAAAAAACAAAACAAAACAAAACCCAAACAACCCAGTCAAAAAATGGGTGGAAGACGTAAATAGCCTTTTTCTCCAAAGAAGACATACAGATGGCCAATAGGCACATGGAAAGATACTTATCATTTCTACTTACTGGAGAAATACAAAGTAAAACTGTAATGAGGTATCATCTCACACCAGTCAGAATGGCCATCATTAAAAAGTCGGCAAATAGGTGCTTGAGATGGTGTGGAGAAAAAAGGAACCCTCCTACACTGTTGGGAATGTAAATTGGAGGACAGTATGGAGGTTCCTTAAAAAACTAAAAATAGGCTTAGCATATGATCCAGCAATCCCACTCCTGGGCATATATCTGGACAAAACTGCAATTTGAAAAGACACATGCACCCCAATGTTCATAGCAACACTACTCACAATAGCCAAGATATGGAAACAATCTAAATGTCCATTGATAGATGATTGGATAAGGAAGATGCAATCTAAATATACACAGTAGAATATTACTCAGCCATAAAAAGAATGAAGTAATGTCATTTGTGGCAACATGGATGGACCTAGACATTATCATATTAAGTAAGTCAAACAGAAAGAAATATATGATTTACTTATACCTGGAATCTAAAAAAATGATACAAGTGAACTTATTTACAGAACAGAAAGAGGGTCACAGACATGGAAATTGAACTTACAGCTACCAAAGGGGAAAGTAGTTAGGGGGAAAGGGATAAATTAGGAGTCTGAGATAAACGTACACACTACTATATATATAAAATAGATAAACTACAGGGACCTACTGTATAGCACAGGGAACTATATTCAGTATCTTGTAATAACCTATAATGGAAAAGAATCTGAAAAAGAATATGCATATAACTAAATTGCTTTGCTGTACACCTGAAACTAACACAATACTATAAATTTACTATACTTCAATTTAAAAAAAATTTTGAAGAGATGAAAAAGCCACCATTAAGATAAATTCATTTGAAAAAACGAATGAAATACTTTGACAATTACTCTGTTTAAATTTGGAATGCAGTTTTACCCCTCAAAAGAAGCAGGAAGTAATAAAAAATCAACTATGGTAATTAGTCATGTTCCCATTAATTTCTATTCTGAGTTTACCTTACACAGCAGACAATTAGTATAGAATAAAAGCACTTTCTCATTTAAATTGCAAATATTGAGTCCAAATTTCAGATCTAGTTATCTTTGGGTTTTCAAGGAAACATTTTATTCAATTCTTATGTGAAAAATATATCCACTAAAGTGTTCTGTTTACAGGTCGAGTTTGGCTCACTGTTTCTATTGCTGAATTCCAGCGCTTAGACCAGGATCTACAGCATAGTAGTTATTTGTTGAATGAGTGAATGTTTAATTTGGTTAAAATGTGTAGTCTGAAACTTTCTGTTGTCTAATTTTTTCCTCAGATAATGGAATTGCATTTTGGATTAGTAACTATAGTACTAATTTGGTTGACATGTACTTGTTCAAGAGGTAATGTGACAGTGTCACACTGGATTTTAATAGATTGGTAGACAGCTTAAAGAACTTTCCGTCTCTTATAAGTTAGCTGCTACATTAATTCTGGATTGTAAATAATAGTTTTGGGCTAGGATTTACCTTCCAGGATATAGGCATAACAGGGAAATCTATTTTGGGTAGAAGTGCCCTGAGCCACTGAGCTGGACACAGTTTCGGTACAAGTTTACTTATGAGATAATCTGGAGGAAAACAGTCCAAATTATATAGACACTAAAGGGTACTAGTTTGAGTATTTCCCAAAGTGGAAGATTGTTTGCATCATAATCATCTGGGCACTTGAACTATAAGCTCCTAAGTCCTGATAGTACTTGTTAATATATTTATTTACTATGTCCTTTAGTTCTGTGATGCAGAAAAAGTGATTCTGCAGTGCAGTGCACCAGGCACGTTCTGCACCTGAGCTCACTGGATGTGGCCTGGGAACTACCTACCATAGGACCCCGGCTGGTTACGTTACAAGGAATAGGTTATAACTGCAAGGAGGCTTCATGTTCTTTAGTAAACATCATGATTGTTCTTATGTACATGATGGGACTCTGTAGGCTCTTTCTATCACAGTCATATGTTAGTAAAAACCTTAACAAGATGAACCTTATCTGCCTGTATACAGATAGACTCAATTCAAACAGATGGCCCTCTTCATGGAAACTGATCCTTGAGGATTACTTCATTTCAACTGAAAATGCAACTTGGTGTTTTCTGTTAGATACTTTTTCTTCTTTCTTTCCTTCCAACATGAAACCTTACTGTTAAACAAAGATACCAAAAACTTTTATTTAAATACTACCACGTTTTCTTTGATATAATACTATTATTAATAAGACTTTGGTAACTACTGTTACCATGTAATATCTCAATTTCCTTAAAGATTTAAAAATAAATCATCAACCATTTGTAGAAAAAGTATGCATATATTTTTCTGAATGCACTGATGTTGTTATAATTCAAAAATTGCCAGTATCAGGTGTTTATAGTTTCTCCAAAATTGAGAATTTCCTTGGGGGCATAATTTTATTGCTTTCACATTCCTTCCTGCTCTGTTGAAGTCTAATGAGGTTTATCTGTCCTCCAGGTGACCTACAAACGGGATCTGTATGCAGCTGAATCGATTATTAAGGGTACGTTTGGCCTTAATGACTGTCAGTTCCTGTGTTTCAAAATGTAAGCCGGTTCAGAATTTCTCATGACATTTTAAATCCCAGAATTCTAATAAGTGTAAATGGTGTAGGCCACAGAGGTCTGTGATTTTTTTTCTTTTAATAATTAACGTTTTATTTTGTTTCCTGCTTTGAAATATCACTTACTATGATTTATATTACATTGGATTTAATTTTTTAAAAGGAAACACTTTATTAATTTGAGAAAAGTAGGGGACTTTGACACTATTAGAAGTGAAAATGGACCATTTATAAAGATACTATGCTTTTTTTATTATTAAGAGGACTGTCTGCCCTCTCCCCTCCAACACGACCATATCAGTACATTAGATGTCATCTTTCATGTGAGAAAATTTTTCCTGAAATCGAGAAATCGGACAATGATTTTTTAAGTCCTTTTGGTTCTGACAATGACTGTGGTTTTGTTTTGTGGTTTTAGACATTATCTATGTACTAATTCCTATTTCATTCTTTTTCATCTCTGACTCTAACAGCCCAGCTACCCAGAATTTGTTTAATAATCAACAAATACTTATGACTGTGCTTGACACTGTGCTAGGAATGTAATTATTATGCACAGGGGACATTCATTCTGTATTTTTGCAACCCCCACAGTTTAAATCAGGGTTTCTTAGCCTCAGTGCTGTTGGTGTGATGGGCCGGGTCATTCTTTGTTCAGGGGACTGTTGGGTGTGTCGTTGGTTGTTCGGCAGCACGCCTGGCCTCCACTCACTAGATACCAAAAGCACTCTTCCGTCTCTCCCCGCCACCTGGTGTGACCATCAGGTACGTCTCCTGATAGCACTGCTGCTTTATATGTGCGGGCCTAGCCAGAATCAGAGGGGTCCACCCCCCGCGCTGAAGCAAGTGTGGTACTTTACAATCTGTTTGTAATTGACCCCTTCAAAAGTAGATGAGGGACAGAATAATGTACTCAGATACTGAGTGAGAAGTGACCTTGTAAATTCAGATGTTGATTGAAGTTGAAAAAATACAGAATGGGAATTGTGAATGCATTTTGTTTTTTCAATTTGAGGAAAGCCTATTTGACAGTCTATTGGCTTCTTACTCAGAAAACTGAAACCATTTCTCTGTTCATGACATTCTGTATTTGTAGTTGACCCTTTAGTTTTTTGTCCTTCAAGAATATTGTGTTTCAAACCATTAACGTACTGTAATTTGTATATCTATGTATGTAAACAGAGCATCTGTGGCTATAAATCAAAATGTTGACATATATTTACATGTGAGCCAGGCAATGTATAAACATTACCCTGGAGAAGTTGCCTAAACCATGATGTAGTTGGTTATATTTTCAACACAAAGAAACATAAACTCAGTTTGGTTTCTTTACAAACTCGTGTACCTATTACCTAAGTAAAGTGGAAATGACCTATTTTGTAAAGAGTTGAAAAGTGGTTCAGTTGAGGATTATACAGTTTTCAGTATTCTGCCTACATATTATAAAGAGAATACTTCTTATATAAAAATTGACATTTTTAGTGTAATTACAGGGGCGACAGTTTGGGCAGTTGTTTTCAGAGATAAATTATTTTTCCTAGTTAGGTAGCATATTCGAGAATGCTACTTAACAGTTTTAAAGTGTTTTAAAGGTACTCAGCTTTCATTCTCAGGGAAAGTAATCTGTCTGACTGGATGTAAACAGCTGAACTGAACAGTCTCCTTATGTTCTTTAAGATTTACATTTCTAATAACTTCCCAAGAGATTCCGACGTTGCCCTGACACTTAGAGGATCGCTGTTGTGGGGCCTTCCTACTCCCAGTTTGGGCTTCTTGACAGGCAGTGTTGTCATCACCTGAGTCCTTGAAGGCAGAATGTCTGGCCCTACCCCATTAAATCAGAATCTGCATTTGAGCAAAAACTCTGCTCGGCACTTTGTACTTTGATTTCTAGAAGCATTCCTCCAAAGGCTGCTCTCTGGTCTTTTACAGTCCATTTCTTTCTAAATAATATCTTTATTGCATTTAGAGCTTGAAGACTTGCTCTGCTCTGTCACAAATTCCCAGTGCTTGTTTGCTCAGCATGGGGTGCTACCTGCTTTCGTGATTTGCACTTACGCTGTCTCTGAGGCCTGAGAGTAGAAATACCACTGGGCAGAGGGAAAAGAAAATGCTTAGAGTTTTAAAAATAAAATTCTAACACACAATATGATATATAGCCAACTATTCACCTGTTGGCCTTTTCCATGTAAATGTTGCAAGTATTTTTCTAGGCACTTCTACCCACAGCATTTGTTGGGTACTTACTTTGTGCTAGGCATTGTTCAAAGCGTTGTATATGTATTGTCTCTTGCTTCTCGAAGAACTCAGTAATGTAAGTAGTGTGGTTGTTTTCCATATTGTAGGATATTCAAGGGTCCTAAGCAAATACTAATTTAAGAAAGAGAGAAAATAAAATCTTGACTATAAGTTTTCCTACCTTACTGAGTTTACCTCTTGATACAACTGTTCTTCCTTTTTTTTTTATCGTTAAGCAGAGATTGTTCAGATTCCCTTCCTGAAATCTTTGGGCTATGCGTGTTTTGGAATTTGGAATACTTCTTATTTTCAGAAGCTACTGCTGAATGTCATATATTATGTCACATCACTGGTGGGATTTGGGACCTCACCACATAATAACACTTAAAATGCATGAATGTTTATGCTCGGTACGAGAAACAAGAATGACTATAACGCCCCTAGCCAGTTCAAGTTCAGGACTCATTTTGCCACTATATATATATATATATATATATATATATATATAGGAAAACAATTTTAAAAAGTGTTAAGAACTTTTTGGTTTTCAGCATTGACCATAGGTTGGTGTGAACCTCTTTTAAATAGGGATACAGTGACGGTGGGAAGAATGTCTAGTCTTTTTTTCTTTCCTAGCCCACAGTGAGTTGAACTGAATTTGTTGGTAAGTTAAAGGGTGTAGCGATGTATTTTTTGTTTAGAATCTACGGACCTTAATTTACGGGAGTAGGTGGCCCTTTCCTCCCACTTTGCCACTCGACTTGCTTCCAACAGATGCACATTGAGCTCCGTATCTATACATTTTTAAAATTTTCTTTTTAAAAAATACAGCTGATATAATACTTGAGTATATGTGCTTTTGTCAAGGTTTAAAACCAGGCTTGGAGCACATGGCACTCATGCCAGATGCTTGATATGTTACTTATTCTTTATAATGCTGTTAACATCAGTATTATGGCTCCCAGTTTTGCAGGTGGGAAAACTGAGACTTACAGGCACTATGTACTTTGCTCTAGGTCACACAATAAGAGTAAGATCCACGATGTAATCCCAGTTCTCCCTTCTCTTTAAGCCTGACTCCGTCCTGGGACATGGCCACTTTGCACCTCTGAGTCATGTAGCTGTTTATGCTGAGCACCGAAGTGAGATATTGGATTCAGTACCTCTCTTTGGTGTGTACAGAAAATGGCTTATAAAACTCAACCTGCCCAGTTCAGGTTCTGTTGGGTTAAAACTGTATCTTCAGCTGGCCTGATGGAGGGTCACACAGCTGAGACTGGAGATGTCATCCCCCAGCGCCGTGCTCAGCACACAGCAGTATTCTACAGAGTAGAAATGGGGAAAATGTGTAATACTGAAATGGCAGATTTTTAGGCATGACTAAAGAAAGAGTAAAAATTCAAAATCAGAATAATAATTTTAAAATGATACTTGGGGTGTTTTCTTTGTTTTCTTTGATTATTATTATTTTTTAATTCTGGTAGTTCACCATTCATTACCTAGGTGTAACAGTTTTTCCTCTTCTAGGATGGAACTTTTTTTCACTAATTATTTCTGGTCAACAAATACTGATGTAACTATTTTCTAGATTACTTAGTGTTTTTCAGACTCAGTAAAACATTTCTAGGACAAATGTCATGTCTTTCCAAGAGCATTTTGTACTCCCACATTTATCTGTCTCTGGAATAGCATGTGTATTTTGGTTCTTCTTAATTTATGCTCAAGTCCATTATCTTTGGGTATGGGAATTTTGATGTAACTAACTTCAGACAGGCCTTTGATACTAAGTAAAATTCTCAGATTGTTGTTTATAGCAAGTCTCAAAATCTGACTTTTACGTTAGATAAGTTTTATTGTAAGTTTAATATACTTTACTGTCAATATATTTACATGGATTTGTATTTATGGTGAACCCTTCAATAATAAGAAACATAGCAAGTAAGTACGCTCAGATTTCTTTCACAGTCTTTCATACTCATAACATTGAAAAATGTATAGTAAATCACAAATTCACTATTACATAAAACAAAGCATTCTTAATACTTTTTCTGAGTTTAGAGAATTGGATTTGGTCATTATTCTTTAACATTTAACTCTTTCAGGCGTCTATTGTGCATAAAATTTAAAACAAACCTTTCTGATAAGTACTGTGATTATCTGGTGCAGTAAGACCCTCAGCTGGCTGATAACTTTGTAAACAGCCACTTAACAAAGAGGTATTGTTCTTGTGTCACTCAAGCTGGTTGAGCCCACCCAAGCCTGCTCTGCGTGCCCAGACCTACCCGAACTATTAAAGTGGTAGCAGATGCCAGCAGTCACATACTTAATCTGCATTTACATATGCCGTGCCAACAGTCCCAACCCACACTTGATTTAATATGGTGACCATACTATAGCAAAAGGGTCAATATTCTAAAATTTTGTAAGATGGAAAGCCCCTATGGAATTTCTAAATTAAAGATTGCATTTATTTTCTACCATCATATTCGTCCAGTCTTTTAATATATTTAACTTTGTGGCTAGAGTGTTTATAAAATAATTGTATTTTTTCTTTCCTGGTTATGATCGTATAAACCCAGGTAAGCTAGTGCTATTAAAAAAAAGCTTCATGGTGGTTTATATAAAAACTGAAAAATAGGTAAAATTGAAAATCATTTCCTTTTTAGCTGGCTTTAGTTAGTATTAGTTAAAACAGTTAATAT